TGTAGCAAAGGGTCCGAAAATGACAAAGAAAGACGAATATATATACAGAAATCAAATGTCAAATCTGGTGTCACTCGTACAAGAGTGTCTAAAATACAAGAATAGAGCTATATATAACAAGTTTGTCTAACAAAAATTCAAAATATAGACAATAAAATAATGAAGGAAGACAACAAGTCTCTGGACACCAAGAGAGCTCATCACAATTTTAATAACGACCACGATATGATCAGAAATCAATAAAGGTGGCTCGTAGGGCTGGGATAATTTGGTTCAGATCGAAAAAATTGACCAAATTGAATTTATTGTAATTTCGATTTTAGTTTTTCGATTTAATTGGTCGGTTTCGATTTTAAATTTTAAATTTTAAATTCCGGTAATTCAATTCTATTTAGTAGGAGTATTTAGAATCGTTTTGTTTATGAAAGAAAATAAATATCTCTAAGAAAATAAAAAAAAATAGTTAACAAATCCACGAGCTCTGCATGCTCCTCTTTACTCTTGGAGTAGATCAAAATGTTACTTATAAACACAATCACAAGGAATTCAGTTATGACTTGAAAACACCATTCATCAAACTTATGAAAGTTGTTGGTGCATTAGTCAACCTAAACGACATCACTAAAAAACTAAAAAATGTCCATATCGAGCCATGAAAGTTGTTTTACGCACATTCACAAACTTAATTTTAAACTGATGGCACTCTAACCTTAAGTCAATCTTTGAGAGCACTGAAGCACCCTACAACTGGTCAAAAAGAGCATCTATGCAAGGTGAGGGGTAGTTATTCTAGATAATGACCTTATTCAATGTTTATATTCTATATACACCCTCATATTATCATTCTTCTTTTTCACAAACAACACTGAAGCATCCCAAGGCGATGCACTAAGGCAAACAAACCCCTTTTTTAGAAGCTCTTGAAGCCGAGTCTCGAGTTCCCTCAACTCGATCAGGTCATGCAATAAGGAGAGATAGATATTGGACAAGTGCCCAACTCCAAGCCTATACAAAAATTGATATCTCTATCCGGAGGCATACCAAACATATCAGTAGGAGATACCTCTAAAAAATCTGAAACCACTAAAATTGACTTAATAGAATAGGGTTCAAGACGAACATTCTGAAGATTGACTTATGTGATCTTGGTATGAGTTGGTTATCTCCATATCATGCTAGCTTAGACTGTTATGCTAAAATTGTTCCTGTTTGTATGCTCAGAATGTCTACATTAAAGTGGAATGAGAATTGTAATCCTTTTCTAAGAAGATCATATCTTATATTCATACAAAAAATTATTGGGGGGGGGGGGGGGGATATTTAGCATTTCTAGGGCAAACTCATATGACAAACTTTATCGATAGGTTTAGCATTGTAGATGTTTTTAACCCAATTTTGTGCTAGAATTTCCTTGAATCTTAATTCACATTCAACACACTTACCACATTTAAGACTTGACCCTTTCACCTAGATATAATTGTTGGGTTATGAAAGGTGATTAGGGCGTCATGCGGAAGCTTACAATTGCAAATAATATGGTTGATAAATTAGACGACACATAAAACTATACTAAAGGATATAATATTATTATTTGATATGACCATTGGTCTACATAATTAAAAACTAATAAAAAGCATAAAAACTGTAGAGAGAAAATTTCCCCATAAACAAAACTCTCTAAACAACTACATTGTGGATTCTATTGTGTTATGCTATGAGAATATGGATCTTCAATTTATAGATCTCCAAATTTTTCCTCTAAGGAAAGAATAAACAAAATATGGAAGAATATTATATTTTCCTTTCCGGTAAAGTAAAAACATTTATGGTAATGTTTTGTCTTTTCTTTTAGGAAAATATAAAGTTCAAATGAGGTAAGAAAATCAGAGCAAAACCATAACAAATCTCCCCTTTTGGCTGGATTTTCTTGACAAAATTTGATCCGTCTTCTTCACAATATGCATGATATCTTCGTTCTTCACATAGTATTCATCACTGCTGCTTGTCATAGTTAAAAATAAAGTTTAACATATATGGGTTAAAAATGGTTTAAAAATATTTTATTTTTATTTTCAAAGATGCAACAACAGAAATGTTGAAAATATAGTTTAAATCTCTTATCCACATGTAGTTGGACAAAAATCTTCTTTATCATCAAATTGGTTGCAAATTGATTTGAAACTGCCTTGAACTTGTCTTCAACCTCGATGAACCTGGGTTATTAAACCATTGAACCATGTGCTCTGATACCACTTGTTGGGTTCTAAAGGGTGATTAGGGCGTCATGCGGAAGCTTTCAATTGCAAATAATATAGTTGATAAATTAGACGACACATAAAACTATACTAAAGGATATAATATTATTATTTGATATGACCATTGGTCTACATAATTAAAAACTAATAAAAAGCATAAAATCTCCCCATAAACAAAATTCTCTAAAAACTACATTGTGAATTCTATTGTGTTATGCTATGAGAATATGGATCTTCAATTTATAGATCTCCAAATTTTTCCTCTAAGGAAAGAATAAACAAAATATGGAAGAATATTATATTTTCCTTTCCAGAAAAGTAAAAACATTTATGGTAATGTTTTGTCTTTTCTTTTAGGAAAATATAAACTTCAAATAAGGTAAGAAAATCAGAGCAAAACCATAACAATAATCAAATTAATCGGATTCGGATCCAATCTCATGCATAGAACGATTCAAATCATAGCCTAAAATACAAGGTGTTACATCATGCTACGAAGGCCCATTTTTTAGATCTAATACTTCCTCAATCATTTTGTTCTTCATTCAATTGCTATTTTGATTTCATTATAAGATCAATTTATATCGTTAGATCATACTAAAAAATCAACTAAACTATTATATACATCTATTTCTTTTTATATCAATCTATATCCATATTTTCAAAAAATAAACATCCATAAACCAAACTTGCGGAAAGTTATGTATAATTTGCCTGCGGAGATCCCTAAACTTTTACATTAATATTTTTGTAAAAAGTTAACTTTTGGATTATGTCAAAAAGAAGGCAAAAAATAAAAAATATTTCTTGAGAGCTAACTTCTCATTCACAATTGCTAAAAACAAAACAAAAAGTTAAAAAATATATTATTATATATTTAGGAATAAAGACAACTTTTGAAGTGATGATTAATTTAATACGTTCATCATGTCTGCCATGCGGAATAGAAAAAGCCAATTTCCTTTAAGGAGTTCGGATCTAGTAATGCTACTTTCTCCCTCATAATCATTATTTTTTAGTGTTCTTTAGAAAGAATATTATTTTTTTATAATTAAAAATAAATTAATTTTAATTTATTTTTATTTTTGAAATAAAAATTTATAATCATATAAATATCTAAGATTCATTTTAGACTATAAATTTTAAAAGTATATTTATTTGTTTTTTAGGTTTTGTGTTAAGCTAAACAATGTCATTAGAGGTGTGCAAAAATCAGTTTAACCAATAAATTGAACAGAAAAAAATATTATTAATTTATTAGTATTAGATTATTGAATTAACGGTCTTTAAAATATAATATTATATTAAAATTACTATTTTACTCGTAATTGTATTTACCACTAAGTTTAGTATTACTTTCGGTCGTAGACAACACAAACTAGTCTTTTCGTCTTTCTGATGACACCTTCTATCTTCTCGGTACAAACTAGAATTACATTTTCTCTTCTAGATTTTAGATTGATGTGACAAAAATAAACAATTAGTGTTGTTTCTACAATTTATTAATTGCATGTGGCTTTAGAAGAAATTCGAACGATTCTATCTTTTTTTAAAGTGATAAATGTAGAAATTTGTGTTGCACATCCATTCTTATTATTATTTCTGTTTTATGAATATTGTGTATATAAGATTATATGAGCATTTTCTTATCGATTAAATTCAAATGGTTGTAATTCTCTACAGTGTTTTAAAAGATCTATTGGGACTCACCTTGGGGCTTGCTCCTGGGAAGGTATCTAACAAATCACCCTGAGACTTAAGTATGAAGCTTAGTTTTGTAAGACTTACGCCTTAAGCGTTCGACTGTATGCCATAAGCATGCTCAACGCCCAATTCTCGTCTCTCGAGGCTTGCCTAACAGATCTTACACAAATTATGTGTTAAATTCTTTAGTTGACATTGTTGACCCTCATACTTCTTGAATAAATGAATGATACTTAATAATTTTTTAATCTATAAAAATTATAAGAAGATTGAGAGCAACTTAAATAACAAGTTGTAGTAATGCATCTTTACTATTTTGAAACAGTGTGAGGGTAATTATATATTACAAAATATTTCTTTTAAAAATACATAACAAAATTTTACTTTTTTTTACTTATTATTGGTCTTCTTATTTTTGTCATATGTCTCAAAATTATCATATTTAATATTTAGCTATTTAAAATAATTTTATTTTTATTCATGATGAAGTGATGTTTTATTATATTACTAGTAAGTTTTATTGATTATTTTCTTTTAGGGGGGAGGGGGTGAAATTGTATAACATGATAATAATATATTTTCTTTTATTATTAGAAAGTTAAAATATTAGAGTTGATTTGCATCTCATAATAATTTTTATATCATTACATTATTTATATTTGTATAATTATGTTAAAAGTTTTATTTTCTAGAAGTTTTCTTAATCATATTTGTAATTATTTCAAACTATTAATGTATTTTTATTATACCATATATATTATAAATTGAAATTTTAAATATCCAATGAGCTTACTTTTTTTTTTAATCCAATGAGCTTACACATCACCACTATGCTAAATAAAACGTTCGGTCACACGCCCCGCCTTTTAAAATACCGTCTTGGCAAGAGCTACTCAACAAAAATAACACGTGTCTAAAAAGGAATCTTCACACCACCGCACTTAGTGAAGCCTCACTAACCAATCCTTATAATCACCTACTTCTATTTAAACCTTGTTCGGACTTTCCGCAAAATGTCTGTGAGAACACATTAAACTGCTTTTTTGGAGGAGTTTAAAGAAAGGTAATTATTTAAAAGTTGCTAGATTTTGAATCTTTAATATTTTTCTCTTTTGGAATTTTGATGTTATTTGTTAGTTAAAGATTATTAACAACTTTTTATTTTGAAAGAATGATTAATTCTTTAGCTGTGATTCAGATTTTTGGTCAAGAAAATTTGCTTCTTTTTTACTAAAAGAGAAACAAATACAAATACTGACATAAAGTTGCAATCTTTGATCTTATTGTATATTCTTAAATTTATTTATAACTTTTTGTTTTTTTTTCTTGTTGTTGCTAGCACATGGGCTAAGCTGGTTAAATTTTGTAGTTTACTTGTATATATGTTTAGTATAGTAAAAGTACTTACTTAGATTCCACTTTCTGCTCTTACTTTTGGTAGATTCAATTTTTATTTCTAAGTATACTGCTGAAAATGGGATTTTTGTTTGCATCTGTTTTTTTTTTTTTGGGGGTAAAAATGAGATTCATAAATCTGCTTAATGTTAAAGTTACATTTTGTTTCTTTGTTTGAACAAATTTTAGTGATCTGCAATCTTTTGGGTGTGATCTAGCTATGCAGTTCTTTAGAGGTCAATCCAAGATCTAAAAGCAGGGGATGTTCTATTTAATATAGGGATTATACATAAACAGGTACGAAAAGTTAACACTCCAAGTTTGAGTATGCACGTCTAGACACCTCAACTCGTTTCTACTGTGTAAGTTGAATACTCCAACTTACAACATGATCATTTACATACCTCTAAAGTTTATATGCTATGGTAGCATCGAGTGTCTATGAGACGTAGTGGGGACAAGTTGGAGTGTTTATTTGTTAATTGAGATAAAGTTGAGGTGTCTAGATGTGCACCCTCAAAGTTGGAGGGTGAGTTGGAGTGTTTAGTTGTCACTTGAGACCATTGGAGTATTTTAGATGCACTCTCAAAAAGCTGGAGGATGAGTTGGAGTCTATGTTGATCGGAGTCTTTAAAAATGTTGACGGGTGTGTGTTGGATTCTTCAAAAATAGTGTATTTTTGGAGAATCTGACATAGGTGCGGTAACATTTTTGGAGAGTCCGAACAACATAGGTTGGAGTGTTTAGTTGTCAGTTGAGATTGAGTTGAGGTGTTTAGATGTGCACTCTCAAAGTTGGAATGGTTACTTGCCAGTTGAGGCCAAGTTTGAGTGTCTATTTATGTATTATGCCTTAAATATATATCCATATTTTGAATTTTTCTTGAAGTTTTCTATATATATTATTGTCCAAGTTTGAGGTTGTGCTGGATCTGCCTCTGCATGTCGCAATGTGAAACTTACTGCAACCTTTACTAGAATACAAGTGGTTTAAGTTTTTCCCGGCCCAATAAAATTGCATGACTACTTTTTACCCTCTCAAATGCAAAAATGGCTAGTGCTTTCATGGTTATGTTTTGAGCTTGTGCTCATACTTGTTAATGAAGAGTATGTTCTTCATACGACCTCTTTCACATTTTTCTATCATAATCTGCTTGTACAGTAGAGCAAAATGGATACGGATGTTTCATTTAGCTGAGTTTAACTCATTCGATATTGATGCGTATTTGGTTGATATATGTTAACTTATTCCATGGAGTTGTATAGATACAAATGATTCATATTGTACTCAAACTAATTTGGAATTCAGCTTACTTGATTCACATATGCCAACTTATTCATTTGAGGGAATGTACCTAACATATTTCTGCAAATTACTCGTGTTATTCCACAAGAATGTGGCTTCAAGCTTGCTTGCATCTCGCATTTCTAACTTGTTCCCTGTTCTTTTTCCTTATTTAACTATTTTCTACATGATGTAATTATCCTTTTATTATTTTCACTCTTGTGTGTGTAAATATATTATAGGTTAAATATGTGGTGTTTGTCCTAGAAATGAATTATCCAAAATGGGAAATATGTGGTTGTCCTTGTGGATACTAGTTTTTAAATCCATCCATCCATCTGTAGATGAACCCATAGCGGAATCATTGTTGGTGGTGGACCAGGTGAACGCAAGCCTACCATAGAAGATAAGTTTTTGTTGCCAACAATCAAACCTTATGGTTCTTGCTCCATTCAGGGACTTGTAAACTGACAACAAGTGGTGGTACTTTTTTGTTGTTTCATTTGTAATATGTATAAGCTTCAGTATGCCAGTCAGGATAGAGTCCGCGTCATGAATAAAATAACTTTTAATAAGAAGTTTTGGTTATTGTTGTTAAAGAATGACAAAAGTCCCACATTGGTGGTTAATGAGATGGGTGGACTCCTTATAAGGCTTGGGCAATCCTCCTCCCTTTGAGCTAGCTTTTGGGGTGTGAGTTAGGTCTAAGACTTAATTTAACAATTGTCTTAAAGATCATGTCTTATTTTAAGAGTTTGAGTGCTGACAGATAGGAACAGCTAAAAAAGAAAACTTATCAAATATTAGTGATCATCCTTGATTTGCTATGTAGTATGTCCCTGAATTTGTGCCATGTTTGGTATCATTTTGTGAATGTTAATTTTCCTCAGGTAGTTTCTCTAGCTAGTTTGAGCACAAGGTTGGGGGGAAATAATAGTAAGGAAGTGAATGTGTTTGATGAATGTCACAATTGTGTTTCAAGAAATGATGTTATTCGTTGGTCATTCATGTTGTTCTTAGTGGTTGGAGTTATTTTTAACAGCAGGCGTAGAAGAAGCTGCCTATTAATATGTATGGGGAGACTGCAAGTAACATTATTCTGTCGAAGTAACAACTTGGTTCCAGAAACAATCCTGACTAAATGCTTCTATTAACTTTTGTTATTCTTTGGTAAATATAACACCAATTGTTGTGAACGGAGAATCAGCAAAAAATTTGTCCACAACTTCAGATATTTCCCATTCTTTAACTCAGGTTGAACTTTGTGCTTTCTCAAGTGGCTAATAAGAGTTGTAATTTGGTTTCAATACAGGAAACACTTTGTGTGTCGGGGACTTTGATTACAAGAAAATTGCACTTCTGTTTAATTTCTGAAGTGCTTCACTTTCTGTGAAGATGCTTAAGGCTCCTCAACATCAAGTCGCAGGACACGAAGCGGGCATCGGGAAGCTTGGTCCCTCGTGGATGAATCAGGACGCTTCTACAAGCCTCTGCAAGGTGATGAACGAGGTGCCAATGAGGTTGCATTCTATAGTTCATTGTCTACTAACAGTGGGATCCCAGAACACATTCAAAGATTTTTCCCCACCTTCTATGGAACTCAGCTCGTAGAAGCATCTGATGGATCTGGCTTGCTGCCTCACTTGGTCTTGGAAGACCTTGCTCTAGGTCATGTCAATCCATCGATAATGGACATTAAGATTGGTTCAAGAACCTGGGCACCCGAAGCATCCGAGAAATATATTCAGAAGTGCTTAAAAAAAGATCGAGAATCGTCAAGCCTTTCATTAGGATTCAGGTTATCGGGGTTGCAAATCTATAGAAGCAAAGAACTAGGATTCTGGAAGCCTGGAAAGAAAGCTGCTCAGAAACTCTCTACAGAGGAAGTCAAGTTAGTCCTGAGAAGGTTTGTTTCTTCCAACACATTGAATGATTTGGATTTGAGACCTGACTGCGCTTTCGCATCAACTGTTTATGGCGGCTCTACTGGCATTTTATCTCAGTTACTGGAGCTGAAAGCTTGGTTTGAGGATCAAACTATATTCCATTTGTATTCTTGCTCAATTCTGGTGATTTTTGAAAAAGAGCTGGCATTGAAAGGAAAGAATCCAGGTGCACATATCAAGCTGATTGACTTTGCTCATGTTTACGAAGGACGAGGTGTCATTGATCATAACTTCTTGGGTGGTCTCTGCTCGTTGATAAAATTTATTTCTGACATTCTTACTGCTCCTAGTGACTGCAGAATAGACATTTCTGCAAAAGCTGATCAGAAGAACCTTACCGCTGATAATGGTGTTGTAGCTGATCATAAGAGCCATACCGCCTCTGATAATGGTGTTGTTGCTGATCAGAAGAACCTTACCGTCTCTGATAATGGTGTTGTAGCTGATCAGAAGAACCTTACCACCTCTAAGAATGGTGTTGTTGCTGATCAGAAGAACCTTACCGCCTCTGATAATGTTGTAGCTGATCATAAGAACCTTACCGTCTCTGATAATGGTGTTGTAGCTGATCAGAAGAACCTTACCGTCTCTGATAATGGTGTTTTAGCTGATCAGAAGAACCTTACCGTGTCTGATAATGGTGTTGTAGCTGATCAGAAGAAGCTCACTGACTGATAAATGGTGTTAGCTGATACAACTCAAACTCTTGTTGGAACCATTTTTCAACCTGGATTCCAACAAGCCACATTTTCTGCCATGCTGCAGATAATTTGCCTGAATTGTTCAATTCGGAGTCCTATGCAATGCTTCCACGCGTGCTTTAAGATTTTAGACACTCTAAACTTATGATTTGTGATCTCTGATTACATATTTGCTACCTTAGCTCACCTGTGCTATGAACTCTTTCTTTTGTAGATCAGGAGGCAAAGAACACTTTTTAATGACAAAAAGGAGCATATTGACTTCATTTACATGCATTAATAAATGCTGTTTTCAAAAGAAAAAAACTCCTTTTCCACAGAATTTCATCCTGTCTATATGAAAGGACAGTGAGGTGCAAATAAATGATCCATCTCAAACCAATGTGCATTACTGAATAACCCCAGCTGTCTAATCCTTAAAGTAGAAAAAATGGCAAAAGGATATTAGACCTTAAGCAGCAGAATTTTCTAGCAAGAGGGCTAATTAACTGTTGAATATATTACCATTGCTGTTTGTGGAAAGCCCAGTTACGAAACGGCATATATAATATATGAATATGCCTTAAAATTTGGTCTCATCTTACATTTATGCCCTTGAACTTTGGATGTGCACAAGTAGATACTTAAATAAGTTGAACAAATAGATACACGTGTTCTACGTGGTATTCTATTTGACAATTTGTGTCCTACGTGGTAGATTCATGTGTTTCTATTTGTTAAATTTATATAAGTTTAAATGTCTGCTTGTGCACACTCATACCTAAAGGGCATAAGTAAGAAACGAAATCAAGTTAAAAGGCACATTTATATATATTATGCGGTTAAGAAACATATCAAGAAATAAGCATATCAGAGGGTGCAGCCACACATGCATTAAGGAATCAACAGCCAAGATAAAAGACGAAACACAAATAAAACTGATTTACTTGAATAGACAGGTTGCTTATCAGATTACTTGCCCATGATTAGTGTAGTCGATGTATAATTAGATTTTAACGACATGACTGTACAAGTACTTCTTTTCATTATTGTATCAAAGTTCAAACTTTTTCAAAAATTCTTCTTATTAGCGTTCTTTCTATTAAGATTTAAGTTTAATTTTTCTATATCAACAGTATAAAGATTTTTTAACAGAGTTGAACTAGGCAAGCAACACATGAATCATGATACTTCCTTAAACCACATTTAAACTGTATAATTTACACCCACAAGGTTTATCAACTTCAAAGCATTTCTACAAGAGAAACCTAAAAGTACATGTTACTGCATGCCTTGGGGATAATATGTCCCTGGGTACAAGTAGGATGAATAATGGTAAACAGAGGGAACAACACCTCTGTTCTGATATGGCGAACTTCGACCAGTACTAGCCAACTGATAAGGATCAGAAGCAGCGGTCTGGTAACCAGGACCAACAGGAACGGGGTTTGGCAACTCCATAGAGCCTTGCCATGATGGTGATGACCCGTATCCATAGTTGTGAGAGACCTCCCTTTCATGCATGGATGCATTCTCTTGCCATTCATATAACTGATTATTGTAACTTCTTATTTGCCCAGCTCTATCTTCAAATGGTATCCTCCCACGAAATCCACCATATGCGCCAGCTTGTAGAGCGTTATTTGTGCTTCTTATTATACCTGAACTAACTCCACCCATAACCATACCTCCCCGACTTGCTGCTGGTGAGCCAGGAACAGTGTCATGAATCGGGCCTGCAACAGATCTAGGCAATGCTGATGGTGACACAGAATAACCATAAATGTGGCTAGCAGGTCGACCTGCTAACAAGGGTCTCTGGCTACTGATGTGATTTACAGGTCTTTGATACTCTGCACCTAGTATGCGTGTGCGTTTTGCTCGTCTCTCTTCAAACCTTCTAGATAACCCAGTTTCATCAAATTTCAGATTTTGCACCATCTTCTCCCTTCTTTGATCATTCCTAGCAATTTTTTCCTCCAAGCTCATAATTCTGTCACTGATACGGAATCGTGGAATAAGCTTTGAGGGATCAATGTTGTGGGCTTCCAAACATTCAATGACAGATCTCATGGTAGACAATTCCCTCTTGTTTGCTTCATTCTGTATAACATAACAAAAGCTAGTTATGATGATTGATATGGGAGGGGGGAAATATTAGTGCTCGAGATGAAATTCAAGAATTACCACAACAGCATGTGAGCCATGCGATTGGCATTTCTTTTTCTTCAGCGATTCTTTAAGTTCTTCTAAAAACGATGACAAAATTTCGCAAGGGCTACATTTTTCCTCAACTCCAAAAGTATAGGCAACATCTACAGCATCAACTTCCATCTTATGCTTCACCATGCCCTCTATTATTTCTGTTGCAAATTTAAACAAAGTTACGCAGGCAGATAACTTAGTAGTTTTTCTACTCATACAAACTAAGGTCCCAAGTATCAAGTGGGGAGAATAAAACATGTATCCAAGGAAGCAAATGAAAATGTTAAGTGATAGTCACTAGTTTTCTAAAGATATATGAGGGGGGTTATGCATTCTGGAACATGAACTGCCGGTTTTACCCATTCAAAAGTAATCCCCAATGTGAAATGAAAGAAAAGGCCATCCAGTATATCCGATATTTGTGACAATGGGGAGTAGCAACTACTTGGTGGAATAGTCAAGGTTTCCCATAACTGGCTTGAACACCACCTTCATTTTTAAAAAGATGGAGAAAAGGGAAATATCCTACATATTGATGAAGTATAGAAGTTCACAAAGTCCTGTTCTCAACAGCTCAAAGTAAATAGGAAGAAACAGCAAATTTTCCACTTATATTTTCTCTTTCATTAATCAGAAATATATCATGTCAATATGATTTTATTGCATTAAAGGTGAAAGATTCCCCATATACAAAGTATATACCAGTTCAAGAAAGGGAGCAACCTAAAATATGGTTATCCATTGTTCCCTGAGAACCTTAAAGTACTACATACTTGGGCAATTCATCTAGTCTAGACTTGACCTGATCGTTTTACTGCATCTCGTCCCCAGATTTCCTCAAGCAATGTTAGAAAGGAAGATGGATATAGATTTCTCTTGCCCTATGACTTTTATCAACACAAAAATATCATACTTTGGCGACAAGACTTTCCAGAATAACCTTTACTTCTGTTGATCTGCAACTTTCACCAACTCTTTTTTATCAACTCAATTATTCACCATTGCTTCTGTTAATTTTGAATTTGCAAGAGTTAACACAGTTTAAAATCCGCTTCTTTATTCATCATCACTACAGTTGGCAGCAAAACACAATGAACATTTCAAATATTGACATATTATAATATCATTCTTTTTATGACTGAAAAATCTCCAAGAGCCATTTAGGCACAGTTCAAAACTCAGAGGATAATGGGACCACCCTTCTGCCCTTAGTTATCTCATTATAACCCCCCTTCTCCCCTTATTTAATATCATTATAACCCCCTTCTCCCCTTATTTGACATCTTCGCACTCCACATATATGTACAAACACAGTATCCAAAATAATGGTGAAAATACCTAAAAGTTCATTGACTCCTCAGAATTAACAAGGCATAAAAGCATGCCTACCAAGAATACAAAAGAACAAAATACAAGTACTGCAACAGGAAATGAAACATCACACTACGACCACTGAATAGCTCTCCCATGGAATATCCAGGTATAGAAAATGGTAATACCACAGAAAGGGAAGAAAATGAAATGGGGAGTGGAAATTAGAGAACCAAATTCAGGAAGAATAACAGTAAATGAAAGGCCACACTGCGACAGCATATGAGATTTTGTATGGAATATCAAGATATAGAAAACTGTAGCACCAATGGCAAGGAAAGAATATATAAGGGATGTAGCACCACAACAAGGGAAGTTACAAAGGTACCGGAAGAGATATATGCCAAGTGGTTTTCACCAATTCAACACTTGTAAGCTGCTTTATGATTTTAATATCATTACCAGTAACCTGGACATGAAACCAACACAAGATTTTCCTTATTGATGTACGGGAGATAATTTTTTTTATCTGGTATCAATCTATTTGGATTTTATACAAACATTTTTTATCAGGGTTTACACAAACTTTTACTACCCTCGAAGACTGAGTCCATACCCCATATAATTCCGATGCCTTAAGAACAGTTTACCCTACCACATCAAGAATAAAGGCGCTACCTCCAAATATACATCATTTCTCGTGGGCTTTTAGCATTATCACCTTAAAAACTTCTCCTCCATATATAAGAACTTAGTTGGAATAGTTAGCAAATAATGCAATAGTGTCATCCCAAGCAGTATAAAAGCCTCTCTAACCCATTGCAATCGTCTACTTTAAATTACTTGATAGACTGGCGAGTTAGCAATTAATGTAATAGTGTCATCCCAAACAGTATAAAAGCCTCTCTAAACCACTGAAATGGTCTACTTTAAATTACTTGATTGACTGGCTTCTGATTGTTCCTACCAAAACAAATTAAAAAAATGAAGAAACCACCGAGTCAATTTAGTCATCTAGTCCACAGCCTAACATATGCCACCTCCTTCATTGGAAATCAACAAACTCACCTGTCCCAACTTATAAAGATAGATAGAAAGATTAGGGAGTTCTAACTGCTAAAGTGGGGTAATGACAACTGAGAGCAATAAAAACAAAAGCAGCAGAAGATTCTTCAGCAGCATCTTCAGTTGTTGGTAGAACAGAGGAACCCTACCGACATCTAGTCGACAACTAACATCCGAAGACGAGAACAGTGTATGCCATAATAGGGCCCAAAAAAAAAAGTAGAAGCATGACATCTCTAGTCCACTATAACTCCCCCAGATAGTACATATATGCATGTGCAACCTTGTCATATACATTTGAGTAAAAAGTTGAGCACAGTTTCTTAATACATTTACATTTTCCAAAAGCTTCTACTAGAAAGATTTAAATGAAAAATTATAGAATTGTTCTTCTACAATTGTACAGTAAGAACAAGGGGTATGAAGGAATTCTCTGATTTTATTGAAGACATGAAACTAGTTGACTTGCAACTTGAGGATGTCACATATACTTGGTTCAAAGGGGACCAACAGGAAGCAGCCTCCAGGATTGACAGGATCCTAATTTCAGAGGAATGGGATGACAAGTTCCAAAATTTGAAACAGATTCCACTTCAAAGGTTGATTTCAGATCATATTCCTATAGCCTTACTAGGGGGGTCTTGGGAAAGGAACAAAAGTTACTTCAAATTTGAAAATTGGTGGATAGAATCTGAGGGCGTCAGAGAATGGTGGTCTTCTTTCAACTTCACAGGGAAACCTGATTATAGATTGGCTTGCAAACTAAAAGCTCTGAAGACTAAACTTAAAGAATGGAGGAATGGGGAAGAAGGAAATTTGGGTATACAGAGGAAGAAATTGCTTGAACAGTTGGCTGATCTAGAAACTGAGAGGGAAGACAGAATCCTTACTAATGAGGAGTCTGCCAAAAAATCTGAATTGATGTTGAAATATGAAGAGTTGATAAAAAAGGAGATCTCCTGGAGACAAAAATCAAGGGCTCTATGGCTGAAGGAGGGTGATAAGAATACTAAATTCTTTCGCAAGATAGCAAATGCACATAGGAGATACAACAACATTGATCAGCTTATGATACATGGAGAACTGAATCAAGAGCCAAGCAGAATTAAAGGGGAAATTGTTGAATATTATAAAAGGTTGTATAAGGAATCATCTCAGTGGAGACCTGAGTACATAAATGTACAATGTCCTGTACTAACAGAAGAAGATAATCAAGCTCTACAAAGCAACTTTGAGGAAAGTGAAGTGTTGAGATGTCTGAAGTTATGTGCTGTTGATAAAGCAGCAGGTCCAGATGGTTTTACTATGGGGTTTTTTATTAAATGTTGGGATGTGGTAAAGCAAGACATCATGGACACCTTTCAAAACTTCTATGAACATGAAGTTTTTGAGAAGAGTTTCAATGCAACTTTTCTAGCTCTTATACCCAAAAAGAAAGGTGCCAAGGAGTTGCGGGACTTCAGGCCAATTAGTCTAATTGGTAGCATCTACAAACTTATCTCCAAAGTTCTTACTGAGAGGCTGAAAAGGGTGGTGGACAAGTTGGTAGACTCACAACAAATGGCTTTTGTTAAAGGGAGACAGATAATGGATGCAGTTTTGATTGCAAATGAAGCAGTTGACTCCAGAAATAACCAAAAGAAGCAAGGTGTCCTTTGTAAGTTGGATATAGAGAAAGCTTATGACCATGTTAGCTGGAAATACTTAATGAAGATGTTGAACCTGAAAGGTTTTGGGCAGAAATGGTTGAACTGGATAAAGTTTTGCATATCAATTGTAAGATTCTCAGTACTCATCAATGGTAACCCTGCAGGTTTCTTTCAAACCCAAAGGGGTCTCAGACAAGGGGATCCCTTGTCACCTTTTTTATTCCTGATCACTATGGAGGGTTTAAACAACATGATAAAAGCTGCTAACTTGAGAGGCTGGATAAGGGGTTTTGATGTGGCCAGAGAAGGTACTGAGAGACTAGAAGTCACACACTTGCAATATGCAGATGATACCTTGATTTTCTGCGATGCTGAGGAAGAACAACTGAAGTATCTAAGGGTGATTCTGGTCTTATTTGAAGGTATTTCTGGTTTGCATATCAATTGGAGGAAGAGTATGATGTATCCTATAAATCAAGTAAACAACATGAGTTGTTTAGCATCAATTCTGGGTGGTGAAATAGGAGTTCTGCCTACTATATACTTGGGAATGCCTTTGGGGGCCAAATCCAAGTCCATAGACATGGAATAGTGTGATTGAGAAGTGTGAGAAGAAATTGGCCAAGTGGAAGTCTCAGTACTTATCAAAGGGGGGTAGACTGACCCTTATTAACTCAGTACTTGATGCTTTGCCAACCTATATGATGTCCCTGTTTCCTATCCCACCAGGGGTCATTAAGAGGTTGGATCGTATCAGGAGGAATTTTTTGTGGCAAGGCAACAAAGAAAAGAAAAGTTTTCATTTGGTTAAATGGGAAGAAGTCATGACAAGCAAGGAAAATGGAGGTCTAGGAATAAAGAATTTGAAATTGCAAAGCAAGGCTCTTAGTATGATGTGGTTGTGGAAGTATGCAAACAACAACCAGATGCTATGGAGGGAAGTAATTGGAGCTAAATATGAAAAAGAGGACAACTGGATAACTAAAGAAGTAACCACTCCTTATGGTGTTAGCCTCTGGAGGTCCATCAGAAGCTTGTGGAATGAAGTTAAAAGTAACTCAAAGGCAAAAGTAATGGATGGGAATAAAACCACATGTTGGAAGGACATTTGGCATGAGAAAGGCAACATGGAAGATCTCTTTCCAGACATCTACAACCTAATCATGTTTCAACAAAGCACTATAGCAGATCTTTGGTCACCACAAGGATGGAATTTCATTTTCAGAAGAAACCTTAATGATTGGGAAATAGTGAGAGTTGCTGAATTTTTAAACACTGTGAACACTTTCACTGGACTACAGCCAGGTGACGATAAATTGTGGTGGACAGGAGATGACAAGGGAGTGTTCAAAGTCAACAAATCCTACAAGTTGATGGATCAGACAGATCAACAGTGCTCAAGTTGGCCTTGGAAGCAAATATGGAAGAGCAGAATCCCTCACAAAGTCTCCTATTTTGTCTGGTCAATGGCTAAGGAAGCAGTCCTTACACAGGACAATGTTATGAAGAGGGGGAGAACCTTGTGTTCCAGGTGCTTCCTATGTGGTGAAACATCTGAGACTGTTAACCATCTATTTTTACATTGCAAGTACACCCATCATCTGTGGAGAATATTTCTAAGCCTCAAAGGCATCTCCTTGACAATGCCCAGGAAGGTGGCTGAGGCATTACTATGCTGGGAGGAAGCAGGTGTACATGCTAAGGACAGAGGTAGATGGAGAATTATCCCGGGGGCTATCTGGTGGCCTGTTTGGAAAGAAAGGAATTCAAGATGTTTTGAGAGCATAGAGAACAATGTGCAGAAAGTTAAACTAAACTGCATTTTACTTTTAGTCTTTTGGTGTAATCAGTTATACTCTAATGACACTGTCTCTATTATTGATGTGTTAAGACTCAATTTAGACGTAGAGAAGTGAAATCAGGAGTACACTTGTATATAAGGTTACAGTACGACCCATGTACTGTTTTGTGATATAATACAAAGTTACTAAGTTCAAAAAAAAAGAAGAACATAATGCCATTGATTAAAATTCCTTGGGACTTAGTAGGATCTTCGAGGCACATGGAAGCTGATACGCTTCACAAGGTTGGCCATAAAGTACCATTAATTGGACTGATTGATGCTTCAAATATTTGTTGGTGAAAGATGAAGATTTTACGACATTAGTGCACTCAAGGGTGTGGCCTAACAATAAAGGGGAATAGAATGAACCACAAGAGACTAGGATTCAAATCCTAGACAGAGGCAAACAGCTAAGTAGTTTCTTTTCATCTGTCTAAACCTTGATAGATAAAGTTACCAGATACATGTGTTGAGGTCGCAGGTACTCGGTGAATTAGACGAGGTGCGTAAGCTGACCTAAACTCTCCTATTATAGAAAATTAAACGACATCGGTGTCTAGGCTGGTGACTAGATGCCACTAATTAGAGTGACAAGGCTAGCAAGTAGAAGCAATCAGATAAACATCAATTTCATCGATCAGAAAACACAAAAACAAACAGGGCAAGAAGCTCTTAGCGTCTCTCTGGGGGCATTATGAATAAAAAGAAAAATTTCTTTTGAAGGCATCAAGACAAGAACCAATATAATGATATATACAGGATAAAGGCTGAAAGCTTTTGTAGAAATTCCAATGGAGACCAGTTAAAACAAGTGGAAGAGATTGTTCTTTATGATTAGCTATTTGTAAAACTAAAGTTATGCCATGAAAAGCTAGATAGCTAGCTAAGTTTAAAATAAATGGCAGTCTTGCTAGGAACTAGTCTGTATTATTGGAAATATGGGGTTCCCTGGTCCATCAACTTTTTTTGAGTGTTTATAGATATGCTGCTCATGCTCTTAAAAAGTGTCACTGGGTGTGTGTCGGATCCTCCAACAGTAGTGCATTTTTGGAGAATCCAACACGGGTGCGGCAATATTTTCAAGAGTCCGAGCAACGTAGGTTTATAGTCTGTTTCTTAAGTTCCTTACAACTTTCAATACACAGAGATATATCACCCATTTTGTGGTTATGAATAAAACATTTTACTTACCAAACTCAAAATTCAATACAGAAATCTTTAGGGCATAACAGAAGGTAGATATTTTGTAATGGCAGCAAATGCAACTTCAATAGGAGACTTTGCATTTATTGATATATAAGAAATGAAAATAGAGTGATCTTACCACTAGAAAAGGAGATAAAACTTCCCTACAGCTCAAGACAAAAGAAAGAAAGAGAATGGGTGTAGACGACAAAGTGGACACTATGCTGCGGTACCTTATAGGAACTGTTTGTACTTAAGGAACAACTCTCACACTACTCATCCACCATGTGCTGCAATCAAGAACTAAATACTTTGCAGTAAAATTTTAACATCCATACGAAATTACCCTACTCAGACTGCTTTAAGACTACGGATTTTAGGAGCTTTTCTGTAATCCCCAGACTGGAACTTCAGTAACAGCATAGTCAGCAAGGTATAATGATAAAGTCCAAGACTAACCTTATCAGAAAAACAAAGTCCAAGACTAAAATTTACCATCACAAACCTTATTACGAGTGTTGTGCTGTAGTTTAACAGGGATTAAACTCAGCACTCTTATGACCAACCAGTTACTTTTTTTTTCTTGCAAACACACAATTATCTCGAAGGAATAAGTAAATCTTCCACCTAAGAAGTCCATCATTCTTATTGTCCCAAAGCACAGTTCTTACTTCACGTGTTCTCTTTCACGTCAGGCTTTCTGCATTTCAACTAGGACATTATGCTCTATTTTGCTGTTTAGATCAAACTGGTGTATGCAAAGCTCACCTTACTAATTGAAACCACAACTATTTCTAAGGCCAATCATGTTCCTTCAATCGATTCCGGCTCATCCCAAATCAATTCCAGTCAGCCATATGAATCTTGTATGTCCGTTTTGTTCTATCCTGGTATAATTCCAATATTAAATTATTGAAATAACCTGTTCCTTATTTCTGTTATTTACTGTAAGTGTCGTTATAAGATAGTTAACAGAGTTAGTTACAGCTAGTTATGAATGTAGTTAGCTAGAACCTTCTACAAGAAGTTATCAGGACCTATATGTACCAAGCACCAATTGTAATTGAAGTGATTTTCTCATTCAATAAAACAGTTTCCTTTTCCTTCTCTTCGTAATCTCTCTATAATAGCTTAGGGATTTCATCAATGGTGGATGAATCCACCATGAATTCCTCATACAGAACTCAAATTTAACATAAATAATATCTTTTTAAGAAAAATTAAGAATTCCCTAGATCACACACTTATTTCTACACATTCAACCAGCTTAATTCCAACTAGTTGGTTCCATCATGGTATGTTTTTATCTCCGCTGTGTTATGTGTATCATTAGACAACTTCTATCTATACACATGATCTTAAGTGTACCTTGCCCCTTTTTACTACCTTCAATTATCATATTATCACATATATTATTTAAAACAAATGAACTGCAAAACAATGTAAGGAAAAAAAATGAAGTGAAGAAGGACCTGGAATCTTTTCCATTAGCACATTTGATCTCCTGAGTGCAGTAGAAATCTCCCTGATATTACTCACTCGAATCAAGTCCCTAACGTCCTCATTGTAAAAAAATTGTGGAATCCCAAAACACCCAATAAGCAATAGCAATCCCCGTGCATCCATTGTACTAGCCTTTCTTATGCCTCGTTCATCAACAAACCTTCTTCTCCATATCACTGCTGCTTGTGCAGCTTCTTCCTTTACCCCTTCATCAATTACATCGAAACCCATCAACAAGAAACACTCCAAAACCAATGCAGATGCTTCCCTTGTGGCAATCATCTGTGCATCCTTATCAAAAGCTTTGCCCCTTTTCGCAAAGAAGTCTCCCATACAGCTAAGTACAAGCTTTGCTGCATTGGGTGCAAGTTCCAATGCCTTGGTGAGTTCTTCGCGCAGTGTGTTTTTCTCTGGGAGTTTCGATACTATGTAACTTCGAAGTCCCTTGCCGCACATCGTCTTGCAGAGGGTTTCGAGCTGTGAATCCGGAGATTTTGAGTCTTTTTCTTCGGATGAGGTTTGATTCGAGGCTGACGGTGGTGACGCCGGTGAAGGGGTGGTATCAGCCGTCTGCGGCTCGGTGGGAGTCTGGGATACGGCAGAGCCAACCAGATTCTCCATCGGAGAATTGATAATCAATACGAGAAATCAAAAAGACCCAAAGCGTCCTCAATGCTCTTCTATTTCTACATTTCCTGTTTGAGAGAGTATAACACTTGAATTTAACGCAAATTATAACTTTAAAACCATAATTTTATTTAATTAATTAACTTTAAATACATTCTCAATCTTATAATATGAGTAAAATACGCACATAAATTGAGGTATATTTAAAGTAAATTAATCAAGTACAAAAATATTCTTAAAATTGTTAATAATTTGTAAATAAAATTAATAATTCACTCGAATTTAAAAGTTTTTTCAATACTTCTCTGAAGATGTTAGAATATAGTACTAGTTTATTTAACATATTTGTTACTTCAAATTACTATTGGGGTACTATTTTGCAAGAGGTGTATTAATTTTTAAAATGATATGAATAAATAGTTGAGTTATATTGACCAAATAATAAGATTATGATTAACTAACTTGCAAGAAATAACAAATAATGGAACTATTTAAATTAGAATGTAAGATAGAATTGCTATTTTGAGAATTTTTAGTATAATATTTGTGTTAAAATTAAATTTTTAGATACCTTCTAATAAGAATGTAAGGTTCTATTTATAGCCAAGTGTTAAGTGGCAAGATCCACAAATTATGTTTTTCCAAAATTTATTAATTGTCTATTTACACTACTGAGTAACGACTGATGATGATTATGAATTTTTTTGTGACAGTTATCATGGTGTGATAGATTACACAAGTGTAGAAGTATGAAGTTTTGATGATAGGCAAAGATGTTGAAGAATCGGGATTAACATTGTAACAGAATAAAGGTGAACCAGATTCATTCAGATTTAACCTTTCGACAGTTCATGATAAGACATGTTATTGTGATGTAGTAAAGGTGCATGACCAATGACATTTGTGCTAAAATAGAATCTCTTTATTTCTCTCAAACCTCTTATAGAGGTAGGTGAGTTATGACATTTATCTTATCATACATAAGAATATTTCTTATTTATAACTTTTCTCACATCTTAACATATTTATTTTAAAGAACGGACGAGCATTTACGATGTTTATTACTAGTCATATTTTCTTCAAGAAATGAACTATAATAATATGTATGTATTTTATGAACTTTCATTAGAAGCTAATTATCACAACTTAAAATTTATCATATTTATATAATATACCTCAACATCACTTTGAAAGATCGAGTGCACATTAATTTTATATTCCTTTTCTTTTAATGGGTGTTTATAGACTTATCAAATTAGATCGCACGACAATCGTGTTTTCAATACTTTTCTTATCAAATTGATGGTAAATTTTATCTTTGCTTTTGAAGGACCATTTTGAAAAATCATAACATTCTTCCTGTTATAAGTAGTATAACAATGATTATTATTATTTTGTTCATTGCTTCAACTCAATTCATTTGTACAATCGCAATAATTATGTTGTCATCTTTTCAACTTATCATGTATTGCTACCGCATTAACTTCAAGAATGGAGAAAATTTAGCGGGAGAAATTATATAATTTTTTCGCAAGAGTACATTAATTTTTTTGTCATCATGATTTCATCAATGTAATGTATTGAGATTCACTGTTTTACTATCAATCAATAACTTAATAGGCTATTTAGGTATTAGAGCTGCCACGATCGTAAAGTGGACGTGATGACACTTGTTTATTTCCACCAAGACAAGTCAACCTCAACCCAACGAAAACGAAAGAAATGTGAAAATCAAAAGCAAGAACAAGATAAAGCGGAAAAACTTATTCTTTCTATTAAACCCCCAAAATCTGGTTGTCACATGTACAAGCCACTAAATACATAAAAAGGAATTTAAGAAATAAGTACAAGTCTCAGTCTTTGTTTCTCAAATAGAATTAAGTATAAAGAAAAGGAAAAATAAGGCTCGTCGAAGTGCCAAACAACTATCTCTCTAAATCCTTGACAAACCTCAAAATCAAAAGAAGGAGAAAGAGATCACACAAGTCCAGTCTCGGAACCTACACAAGTGTAAAATCAAGGGGTGAGTACCAACAACACGGTACCCAACAAGCAACCTAATAAACATGGCATCTAGCTAGAAATCGAATACCCCTGACACTATAACCGAACCTCCTCAAACTACAACCTGCATAAAGATCATCCCAACCTATCAGTTCTACAATACACGGCTCACAAGACGCAATATTCACAATTCAATAGTCACAAATCAATAATCAAACGAATCAAGTAAGTCAATCTCAATGTCAAGTAGATCAGTCACACACAATAAGTACAACAATCACAATTAACAAGTAAGTCACACATAAGCATCAAAATGCACCAAATCACAAATCATCAGTCCCTCGTCGAAATCATTTTCCATCGGACAATATCACTAGCCGGAACCATTTTCCATCAACTTTCAAATTACTAGCCGAAACCATTTTCTATCAGTTTTATATCACTAGCTGGAACTATTTCTCATCGGTTTTATATCACTTGCCGACAATGACCTCGACATCATAAACACTTGTCTCATCATGGTGTTCAATAATTAATGCACACAAGCAATATCACACCACACAGAAGAGACAACGATTCGTGCAATTCAAGTCCACATTCATGATATCAAACATTCATCAATCAATCAATAAAGGTCACAAAAAGGCAATTCACACCATCATGATTATCACATAGCTTTTTCAATTTCGACCCCTTCTTTTTCATTAAGATTCATCATGTGGACAATTAACCCTTCACCCCATTTCCATTACTCCCAACACACAGACAACGAAGAGAATAAACGAATTCTACTAGAATACAAGGTTTATGAGACCACTTTCCTTAATTCAATCAATAATCACTCCATGTTGAGTCTTTCCCTTCCTGATCACTTCCAAAGCCACGCAATCAATATCATGAATCAAGTATTCACCATCACATTCCGGAAACAACAATACCCACATCAATTACTTTGAAAAATAGGTCAATCAACTCAAAACTCAATTTCAAGAATAAGGTTTGAATACAAAATTTAATACTTGAAAACATTATTCATGACTTTATGAAATTAATGGTGCAAATCATTTCGAAAAAAGACTCAAAACTAGTTCAAAATATCCATTTTAGTTTAGAAGTTGAGTTCTTGAAAATCCTTGTTATTTACCAATCGAAATCCCAAATTTTAATGTTAAAATTCATAAATAATCAAAGGGTAATGAAGGTTTAGGTTCATGAAAGCTTACCCAAATGATTTAGCACAAAAAAACCTTTTCAAAATCGCCACCAAGAGTTCCACAAGCTCAAAAATGAAAAATGGGATTTAAACCCCAAAAATGACAAACAAAAACCCCTCTCAGATGTCGCAAAAGTGACAGACCCTTCTCTTAAGCGACATGACCATCGCAAAAGAAAGACCTGCAACACTAGAAAAATAGCCTAGTCTCAAAACATCAAAAAGAACCTCAAAATTCGTTCGAACCCCGTAAACACAAACCACATATACAAATCAATTATACTTGATGTTCCGGACTCAATGGAACCGTCAAAACATGAATATGAGGTCTCCTTGACCCAACATCCATGAAAACCACAAGAAACTAACTCAACACCTATATAGCTAAAACAAGCTTGGGGCCTCTCAAAAATAAACCAAGACCTCACCTAGGCCTAAAATCACCTCCCAAAACCAAGGGAACTCTCAAAATTTCGATCCAAGCATCCGAACCTCAAATGTTGACCAAAGTCAACCCAAAGGTTAAATTTCCATAATTTCACAACATAGGACCTCAAATCCTCAAAAAGACTCTAAATCTGAAATCGATAATTCTCACAACTCAGATTTCACATTTCGGGGCTGATGGAATAGATGGAACTCCATTCCGACAATCGAAAATCCAAAAGGCACCGAAAAATGATTTCTTAACAACTTAGCCTTTCAAACTCAAAACTTGCCAAATTTTCAACTTCAAACTCAAAGTTCGAAACCAACTTTTCAAGACTCAATCTTAAAAGATTTGGGGTCGATATCAGGAGGGTAAAATGATAAACTTATAAAACTTTCCAAAATGACCGACCGGGTCATTACAAGAACTCACCCCAGGCCTTTGAAATACATTGAAGAATAAAAGTTGTGTGACAAATAAATTTATAATATAAAGGATAAATTCCTTTTCAACCGAAAGTATTTTCACATGAAAAAAAAGAATAAGTACATCTTAGTTATGATACACAACTTAAAGTAAGTTCATAATTGTATTTTTAGTAGAAAACAATGTGTTGTATTTTTTCAATCTGTTGGGCATTTGTCATTGACAAAATTAGATATTTATAAAAAAAAATCTTCAAGTGCAAGTGATCAGACTTGATTATCATTGTTGTGTTGATGGAGCTGGAAATGAATAACAATGAAAGTAAAGATCAACATATGAGCGACCAAGAGTTGAACCTACTATTTCGTAAAGCATAAGGAAGTTATGACAACAAATAAAAATCCTAAGGTAAATTTTCTTGAGACACTTTTATAAAAAAAAATTGAAGATCCAGACATACGCTTTGTTACCCAAAGCCTAGGAAACATCAACTTTCAGGATGAACATGAAAACCCATAAAACCATCCAAATTTTATCCCTATAACAACTAATGAGAAGCACCACATATACTCACCTTGGAAGCATGCTCTAATCATCAAGCTAGTTGGGAAAAATATGAGTTACGTATACCTCCAAAATTGCCTACAATCCCTTTGGTAACCCTTTGAAAAATCAACCTTATTGACCTAGGAGAAGATTTCTACCTCACTAAATTTTCAAACCTAGAAAACTTCGAAAAATTCCTCCATTAAGGCCCATGGTTCATAGGCTCACAATACCTTTCAGTTCGTACATGGGAACCAAATTTCAATCCTACTCTAAACCACATAAACTTCTCCATTGTCTGAGTGAGACTTTCTGAACTCCCTACTGAATTTTACGTTCTCACTATACTCCAAAAATAAGAAAACCAAATAGGGTTCGTCCTAAAATAGATACAGTAATCCACGCATGCCCACATTTACTAAATAATATGCCTTCTACG